ATAACTGGGAAACTGAAAGAAAATATCACTTCGAAATACAGCATATATATTTTCGATTTATGTGGAAAATGTTTTTTTAGCCCTATAAAAATGCTTGAAAATTTGATTGAAGGTCCACCATAAGTTGTTCTTACTGTTAAAAGAAAAAAAACAAGTTTATTGCCATATAAAGGAATAACCTAAATTTTGACGAATTCGTTAACATAATGCTATACTCATTAATAATGTTACCAAGATTTTTTAAAAATATTTGCTTTATTTATTATTTTAAAAATTGCATTTAGCTAGTAGTCGTTTGTTATCTATACTATAATTATTACTAATTACAGTAATAATGAAATATTATACAGAATCGTATTGAGATTCTCATATATTATTTATAAAAATATAATATAGGTATAATAGTTACCTATCATTAAAATGTATTAATAATTGAACTCACTATTTGAATATTAAAATTAATAATAACCAAAAAATAACTGTTACTTTGTCAAAACAATATTTCATTTTTACTAATATACTTATGCTAAAAGATATGTAATATCTTGTACCTACTTATTGATTAATACTCATAAGTAGGTAGGTACAACAGAAAATAAATACAATATAATAAATACCTATATGAGGAATTAATTTGTTTAACACCCGTTAGCCTTTTCAAATAATTAGGAAACGGTCGCGACAATGAAACACTTTAGAGAAATATCTATTAAAATGTAAAACGGAATTGGAGTATAGACACTTATGGAAATCCAATTTATTCATAGAGATTGTGTTTATAAACATACTTTAGATGTAAATGACGTACTTACTGACTTCATTTTGCAAAACTAAACATTTACATTACTTAAATATAAATAATAATTAAATATAATAATATAATAATAATGAATTTAATGATTTAAGTTAATAGTTGATAAGATAATAATTATGGTTACAAGTATTAACTAATATGCTCAAGCGTTTTAACAAAAAAGGTGTTTCTAAATTCCTATTAATCCACTGAACTATCTGTTACTGATTAATTTAAGAACAAACGGTTTATTATTTTGTATTTAAAAATAATGACATACAAAATGATACACAACAAAGTTTGAATTAAATGAAAAAATAATACACGGAAAATTAAAAAGCACGGTTATGTCGTATGTAAATCTATAAAATACGTGTGAAATGAAATAAATTGTATACAGCCATCTATTGGACCCTTATCTAATTTAGATAAGATAATTGATGTTTAGTTTTTAGTATTCGTTTTAAACGAGTATTGACCTTATATAAATTCAAAAATAATTTTTTTTTCAGTATCAACATATTTAATTAAAATCTGATTAAGTATTATACTCATCTATAATATTAACGTGTAAAACAAATAGTTTTATTATTCCCGAAAATGAAATAATAAATGTTCTAAGAATTTTTCACTTTTCGAGGAAACATGTTATTTTAGATTCTGAGCAGATTCAGCGAGGAATGTATTGGTTTTATAATAATGTTTATTTTTTTTGATCTGTCAATCATTTTTCTACCAACAAATTTACTTCGACTTTCAAGTGTAATATCTTTTCTGAAAGGAAATTTTATATGGGTGTTTCTTTAAGGAGAATATTGAGACTTTGATTTTCCAAGGGGTTTTCATAATAATTTGGCAAAAACCGGGAAAAAACATAGAGAAATGAGGAAATGTGTATTTAATGTATTATTTTCAATTTTATTTTTTTATTGTGATTCAGTTAAAAACATTCGTAGTAACTTGAAATTTGGACAGAAAATTTATATTTGTCTTTTATAAACGTGGTCAAATTTTCAAATTATTTTAGTAAGTTTTGAACTATTTATAGATATTTTATTTTTGAAAGTTTTTTACTTAATTTTTATTTAGCAGGTACTCTGTGGATAAAATTGTTAGACAGATAGAAATACTTAATAATTTAATAGGGGTTCATTATAAATCGTACTTTGTAGTCCAGTAAACAAAAAAATTGTGTGTAATGAAGGATGTAGGGATTTTTATTTTTTTTTATAAGAGTTTTAATATCAAATTTTGACGAAAATCGTAAATATTACAGCATTTAAAACATATATAACCGAACTTTTTTCAGTAACGGTTTTTGTCAGCAATGATTAATCGTCGTTTACAGATATACACTAAATTCTACTCCATTATCCTACCTTCTCAACTTTTCATTTACAGCTTACAACCACTGGCACAGCCATCGGGCAAAGTATGTCCGTCTATTTTGTTTTAACTCTTAGACGAGTAGTTCGATTTCAAAAAAAAATGTAATATTTCGATAATAAATTTGTATACTAAGTATCTAATCATTCGTCATCTTGCAATAATGCATTATACACAAGATTTATCCGCATAACACATACTATAATTTAACAAACATTCGGGTATAATAAATGGCATGATCTTGGCATATTTTATAGTCATGATTTAGATAATCATATACCTAATAAATTACATTGCATTTGCGTATTCTTAATTATAAAAGTATTATAACGAGTAATAATATAATAATAAACTAATAATTATCTACCTAATATTGTAATAGAAATTCAGTTGTTAATGATAGTTTTAATAATCGTTTTATTATTTTCATTGACGACCGTTTAAATGTGATAGGTACCTATATAAAATATAAAAGAAAAAACTACTATCAACATCTGTCATGAAACTTGACATTTTTTATAGAGATTCCATATAATGAAGACAACCGCTATGATAGAATTTTTCAAAATTCAACCTCTAAAAAATGGCTGACACAGGATTTTTGGTATTTTTAACACAAAAATGAAATATTTTATGTTCTTTTATGGGCTTACCTTGATGACACTGATGGAAAATAGTTATTACTAGTTAATTCAGTTAACGAAAATATATTTTTAAAAAACAAATTAACGGACAAAAACGGTTAACTATGAAAAGGTTGGGAGTGGAAACAGTGGTGAGCTAAGATGAATCTGACCTCACCCTAAAAAGTCTTGGCCACTGCACAAATATTTTTCTGCTTGAATAATTTTAGTAAACCTATTTTCTGCCGAATTATTTTCGAATAAAATATAGATCATTGTTCAAGCCTAGGTTAACATATAAAACAATTTAAGTATAAATACAATATGTTACAATAATTTTGTATTCATATAAGTCATTAGATAATTTTTAATGACCAATTATAATTTTTTTTTTTGTAAAACCATTCAAATTATGTCTTAAGTAAATATATTTAAATTTTAGCGTAAGCCATACGGTGACCCTAGGTTATATTCGAAAATATTTTGTTAAAACAAAATTCGGCAGAAAGTATGTTTACGAAAATTATTATGCAGAAAAATATTTTATTTTTTTTATAACTAGAAAAGTATTTCAGTTTAAAAATAATTTATACAAAAATAAAATGTCAGCAAAATATTTTATCAGAAAAGTTTTGTCCTTAAATATTGTTTACGAAAATAAACTTGTTGAAATGCAATTTAATTGGAAAATTTATTTTACCGAGTACAAATAGAGTGCGCTGTTTTAGAGTGTGTGTTTTGCACAGTATAAATTGATGTCATCGACTAATTAATATTAACAAATATAATCAATATAATATAGTACAATATATAAATTGACATTAAGTAGATTGTAGGGTTAGGGCTTGATGCTATTTTTTAATTGGTTGATGCAATTTAGAGAGAACAAAGCCATGGTTCAGCGGTTAACAGATGATATGAGATAACAATGTTATCTCCTTTATAATTATTTTCTAACAAAATATTATTCTGATAATATATTTTTGCATATAATATGTTCGACCAAAATATTTGCCTGTACAAATACTGAAATACTGTTCGGATAATATATTTTTTCTTCTGAAATATGGATCGATATAAATATTTTTCGACAGTTATGTTTTTAGGATAAAATATCATCCTAACAAAATATACGCGTTCCCGGTTTGAACAGGTTAGCGAGTTTATTTTTGCACAAATTCCTCACAAATTATTTAATATCAATGTTATTACTTAATTTTTTGAAAATTCTATGATATATTTTATAGATTATTTATGAACTAGATACGATAAAGTGTAATAATATGAGAGCCAAAAAGTGGGAAATTATATTTGTAGACACTAGACACATTTGTAATATTATTATTCTATTGTAATGTCAATATTATCATTTAACGTGCAACCTGTGCTATTATAATGTAACTTAATGTTATATTATAAGTTTTATTACACAACTATTTTAGGCTTTTGATTTTTTTCCCATTTAATTGGCTACTGTCTATGGTCTATTTAACAATGAATAGTATTCTTTAATTAGCCATTCATTATTATGAATTAATAGTAATTTGTATTAGTCATATCATGTCACACCCCAGGGATGTGCTCAAGAATTTTAAATGAGGGGGGGTTCAAATTTTTTTAATACAATATATAATCAATATGCATTATGAATTAAAATGTAAAAATTATAAGTAAACAATTTATACATTTTTAAGCATAAAAAATTTATTAGATTAAAGTCAAGTTTGCGAAGTTTTTTAGCAAGTTTGTCAAGGACTTCTTTAGCTGAACGTGGTATCAGTGTGAACAGCCAACATTGTCAGCCCATTAAGTCGTGTCTGAAAACAAATTGTAATTTTAATCTTGTATCATTTTAAATATTAAGTTTGAGAAAATTACTTCTATCATTAAAATGTTGGCATCCGTTGAAGTTGTGTCATTCCACTCGCATGTTTTTTGTAATGCATAAACTACATAAGAAAGTAATTCTACAAAGTCATTTATAGCCGTATATTGTTCTACCCATCGTGTTGCACAAAGATTTTTAATAGATTTTGATCTTGTATCCAAGTCACTTTCGTAAATTAATGTGTGTTGCACAATTAATAAGACATTTTTGCGTGTGGATGTATTTAAAAAGCAGTACATTTTTTCAACTAAATCCAAACAATTTCGTATACACCTTGAATGTCACAAGCTGAAGATATAGCCAAATTCAACTAGTGCGCTGCGCAATGAACATATAAGGCCTTTGGACATTTTTCCCTCACAACTTTTTGAGTACCTTTAAAACGCCCTGCCATATTTGAAGCACCGTCATAACCTTGTCCGTACATGTTATTGCAGTCTATTCCACTTGAATTTAAACCTGTATAATAACAAATAATTAATAAAAAAATTAATATATTTGTAATAATTACAATATTCGTTAATTACCATTCACAATAGTTGATGTAATGTTTTTTCCTGTCAAACTATAAATTTCTATACATTTTAAAAAACGTTCATATACAAATACATTTTTATCAGAACCAACAATATATCTAACACACAACGCTATTTGTTCTTTGACTGAAATGCCAGTCATTTCATCTGCTAAAACTGAAAAGCATTTGGCAGAATTGATCTCTTTGACAATTTTCTCTAACTTAAGATCTCCAGCAGATGAAATAATTTTTTTTTTTTTGGACTTTTGCAATTGTGTACTTGTATCGGTCATCAGATTCCAAAAAATATTTTAAATGATTCAGATCTTTAGCCTTATACTTCAAAATGGCACGGAAATTGCCTTCATTAATGTAGGGTTCAAATTCAGCTATAAAATAATGAGAATACAACATGACTATCAGTAACATAGTTAATTTATATTTATATTTTTAATTATAATATTACTTTTAAAATAAATTGGACCAGTATCTTTATAGCCACGTAAAGCAAGTTCTTGCCTTCTATAAAGTATGACACATTCAATTATTGGAAGAAGCCATAAAAAAATTGTCTCAACTTTGGTAAAAGAAGACAATGCAAAAATAAGCTTAAAATAATGTCAAAGCATCAAGTATACTAGAATTTATAATCAATGACATGTCATACACTTTATGCACATATTATGCTCCATGCTAGAGAATAATGTAATTTAATAGCGTGCAAAGAATTAAGATGTTTAACATGGCATATACCTACCAGTTTTAAGTCAAAAATCTCAAAATTATTACTTTACCTGATTATCGATAATTTGACTATTTTCCGTTTCCAATTTGTGTTTCCGTTTAAGTGAATTGGCTGTAGTAGCACTGACACTCGTAGATGTAGTTTTAAAAAAGTTCGTAATTTTATTATGTAACATTTTAGTTGTAAATAAAATAATTTCAAAACTCAAAATATGTGCACAATTGCACAAATAATAATATATTTATATAAAGTATAAATTATATAATTATTATTAAAATAATCTGTGATATAATAAATTGGTAACTTGAAAGTTATACTTTGTGATTCGTGATTTTAGGTACTAGTTAGTAGGTAGTAAGACCAAGGTCTTAGAATAATAATAGTTACTATTACACCAATATTAAATAATACAGACTGATAAAGAGAAATTGATACTTAATCAATTGTCAGAAAAAAAAAAAACTCTAAAATTGAGGAATATAATAATTATAATTATATGTAAGTAGTTAATAAATATTATATTTGTCAAGTCTCCATGGGGGGTTGAGCGCCCTAACCCCCCCAAGCACGCCCTTGTCAGACCCCAATAAATCTAAACAATGAAGGTTTATACAAATTATTTTGTCTGTACATAAAAAGGTTCGTTTGGAAGTAAAAAATGCAACAGTTTATGATTTTTCTTCTGATGGTAAGTTGTTTTTAAATAATTATAATAAATACAAACTAAAATTTAATATACAAACACAACCAATATTTTCAAAATAAGTCTGAAAATAATTACAAATTTAAATATTTTAAAATAACAGATATTAACAATAATAGATTCAGAATTAAATATTAATAAATTAAAATTAAATATTGATTAAGTTATAAATAATTAAAAATAATTTTGCCGAATGTCATAACAATAAAATAATATAGTTAAAATTAATTATCTGTATATTTAATATTATTTTAAAAAATAGGTAATACTTAATTTTTTTAATTTAAACTATTCTTTTAAAGTTATTATTATCATATCGTTCTTATAATATTTTTTTTTATTAATTTGTATTATTAAACACAAATTATAAGTTCTTAATGTAAATATAAATAGTTTTTCAATTTTTATTTTTAATTTATTGTGTTTATATTGTTTTGTTAAAAATGGAATATGTTATTTTTGGTACTAAAAATTTGAATTATAAAATAAAATATAAACTGTCATTTTAAAATTTGTTTATAAGACTTTATAGAATATAACGGCAGTGTGCTTAATATTGGATATAATTTTGGTGTATGTAAGGGGTATTGAGGTGTATGGTGTATCCCTCCATGGTTTGGTACATAGGGATCAAGAAAAATGTTGGTCTCAGCATGGCTTACCTGATGCAAAAGTTCTAGCGCAACTACTGAGTGAAAACGAGGAGTCATGGAGAAACACGTTTATTTTTAACATGTCGATGAACAGTATATGTTATAGAATTCATGAGTTTTAAAGTTTACGGTCCGCGTGACTGCTATAGCATTTTAATGTTATGTTGATTATTATGAAATAAGTCAAACTGATTCAAAGGGGTGTTTAGTTGATACTTGATGAATGCTATAAAAAAACACATACTAATATATAAATTAGGTACATGTTAGGTAGACTTGGCCACTTGGTTATGTAAACTCCTACACGAAGAACCGTTTTACCCGAATTTAAAAGTTAGTGTAATTTCTTTAACTATTATAATAATAGTCCATAGTCCATATTATAGACTATGGAAGTACACAGTTATAAACGTTTGGTCTTTTTAATTTAAGATTACTAACTTCGGCGAATCAAGCAGAAAATATTTTATACTTGAAAATCAAACGATTGCGAAAGATATTAATCATGCGACATTGTCAAATTGTGAAACGAATATATAAATCTATCTATACAAATAAAATTAAAGAGTTTTTCTGTTTGTCCTAGCTAATTTTAGAATGGCTAAACCTATTTCGATGGGACTTTCACTTGCATAACGATAAGTATGATTAGGACGATAAGGTCTTAATCATATAGGTATATAATAGTGTATACTTGAAAAATTAGATTTATTCCACATAATTTTTGTCATAATTTTATATCAAAATTCCCTTATAAAAAAAAAAAAATACTACATTAAACTCAATTTTTTTTTACCACAAAGTAAGATTTTTAATGATCCTCTTGTTTAATTTTGAAGCATTTCTGTTCAAGTCTAACGATTTTACCACAGACTACTTACCGAATAAATAATGCGTACTAAACTCTTAAAATTAAAATGTCTAGAAATACCTTAAAAATGACAAAAATGTTTCGAAAATGTTATCTCGTTAAGAAAAGACAAATATAAGTTCTAATATCTGTCCAAATTTCAAGTCTATGAATGTTTTTAACTGAATTAAAACAAATAACAAAGTTGAAAAATATTAAAAGCACTAATTTCGTAAATTTCCTATTGTTCTTACGTTTTATCCTGATTTTTCCCAGATATTATGAAAACTGCTTGGAAAATCAAAAAATTACCCCCCAAAAGTACCATCTGGACAACATTCCCTTTCAAAAATGGTGCCGTGCGTTTATATCTGAGCAAGATTTATGGTCAAATTTTTATACACAGTATATAAAAAAAAAAAACATATTAGTAAAACCAATACATTTCTCGCTACACACAGAATCTTAAAATTAGTTTAATGTAGTATTTATTTTTCATAAGTTTTAAAATCAAATGTCTACACATATCATAAATATTATGCCTTTGAAAACATATAAACGAACTTCGCTTTTAATCGTTTTTCGTTATCTATGGTTTATCGTTGGTTACGGGTATAAATTAAATAACTTTATGTATTCCACCTTCTCCACTACGCACCTACAACAGTTTCTACACCTGTTCCCAGTATCAGCATTTTTAAAAATATGTACAGATAAAACTAATTTATCATAATAATAAAAACATAAATAGCAGCTACGATTCACGAATTATATTCATAATACCCACTTGGGTACTTTCTATATTTTGTTCAAATTTAAAAGATATTTGAACTTAAGTTTAAAATTAATAGGTAGTTTTTTGTACTTCTTTGCCTCTCGTGTCTTGGCTGTAGCGGTTTCTATGTCAAAAACCACTGTTTCTAATTCCTACGATACGAGGCGATAATTATCTCGATATTCATTTTGAAAAAATATTCGGATTGTCTATAATATGTACGAGAAAACGGCCGAGCAGCAATTTTTATTTTTATTATTTGGAATGCAATAAAGTTAGTCTCTATTTTCAAATGTTTGCAAAATTTCAAACTTAATTATTTTATCAATTAAATACAATCTTAAAAATTTGCCTCAGTTGATATATCGTACATGTAGTGAAGAATTAGATTTTTTTGTCAGAATTCGAATTGAGGTAATCGTTGCAGCGTATTGTTGGAATTAGAATCGTCGATTTGAGTGAAAAATAAACATTTTTCCTAATAATAAAATAATTGTCCGCTGATAGCGCACGCGAATGCATTCCCGGGTCCCCCTCCCGTACCACCGTACACCGTATCAATAATTACTGTTGTCGCGTTCCTAAAACAAAAATCAGATAACGATCTTGTATATAATTATACATTGTACGTTTATATTTATAAAAGTTTTATACTGTTTATAGCATAAAAATAATACATAATTATGTAACCGCGAATTAAGTAGCCACGAATTGGTTTAGTCATTATTCGACAATCATTCAGTAAAACATTTAGTTAAATTTATTGTGCATTAAAAAGTGAGTTCGAAATAAAAAGCGAAAACTATAGTTCTCTTATCAAAAAGGAAAAAATACAATTTTATAATTTTAAATACAATATATAATATATATATATATATATAAAAAAAAATAAAAACTTGAAACAAAAAAAAATAACAATTTTTGATTTGAGTAAGATATTTGTCAGCAAACATAAATTGTAAAAATTAAAAATAAAAATAGAATTTGTTAACATTTTGAAAATTTTGCGGTAAATTTTTAAATTTTGTCTTTTTGGGTTTTTCACATTATCAAAATCACTCAGAAAATTGAAAAATTGGTTTCTTTCTTACCAACTAGATTTAAAATGCAACTAATATAAATGATATAAACTATAAATCATAAATTCATAGATTCCGTAGTAGTTAGTCGTAATCTGGTAAAACCAAAATAAATAATAATATTATAATATTATTATGATTATTGTGTATAATATTCAAATTGTAATAAACCCAAAAATAAATTTGAGATAACGATGCGACCTACTAGCTACTACCTATTATAATGATGATACGAAGGGTAGTGGTGCACTCATTGAAACGGCTCACACTAATAGTCGTTTACGACTAACACAAGGATACCGGGCGGCGACGTTAAGATTATAAATTGCCTAAATTTTGCTCCTTAGAAAATGCTACTGCCAAGGCACTTTAAGTTATTTATTTTATAAATTAATATATTATTAATTTTAAATAATACAGTAACCACTTTTACACTTAAATTTAAATTTAAGTTATCTCTGAGTCTGGATTATGATTAGATTTCTATA